CCAGTCTGGACTTTTCCAGACCACTCCCCTTTGCAAAGACAAGAGCTGTTTTTAGCATACCCGCACCCCCACTCTGCCTCGAGATCCAGCCAAAAGGCTTAGCCAGATCAAGTAGAGGCCTGTGGCCTAGGAGTGAGGGAGGGACAGAGGGGGATGTCTGAGGACATCAAGAAGATTGACCCTCTGGGTCCCAGGCATGGAAACAGCCCCTCCTGCCTCCCAAGGGTTAGACCAAATCATTCACTGGGGCAAAAGGTTTGAGTCTAAGGCTCTCAGACCCAAAGGCTGTGAGGAGAGACCCAGGCCTGTCTCCATTGGGCGGGGTCTCAGGCTTGGGAGAAGGGGCTTTGGATGTGCCAACCAAGCTCAGGCAGGAAGAACTGGGCTCAAAGACTGACTCCCTCCTTTCTCTCGGAGCCTCTCTGATCCCTCCCCAGACGGTTTTGGCTCCAGCTGGGAGGTGACCCACCTGCCTTCCCTCATCCCCCTCAGGATGAAGTGAAAATCCACATCCTGATTTTATAGAGTCTGTTTCTCAGGCAAGACAGTGCTCAGGCATCGATTCTATTCCAGGCACTGGGCCACGTCCATGGGACACGGAGTGAGTAAGGCACTGTTCCCTCTCCTGGAGTTCAGTCTGGCCCAGGAGCCAGACGTGGGCTTCACCCGGCAGAAGACCTGATAAATGTCATCACAGCCACCCAAGTGGAACGAGAGCCCCAGGAGCCCAGGGCAGGGCGGGAAGGGGACCAGGGAGGCATCGTAGAAGAGGAATTGCTGGAACTGGGCCCCGGGGTTGAGGGAGTCTGCCAGGCAGAGGAACAGAAGCGCTCGTTCCAGATTGAAGGAGCGGCCCAAAGGCTGGAGGATGCGGAGGTGCAGGGCTGTGCAGGAGCCACTGGAGTCTAAAAGCTGGAGGGCGGACAGGTGCAATGAGGGAGGAAGAAAAGCAGACGTGGCTAAAGAAAGTGGGTTGAAAGGCAGATGTCCAGAACAGGGGCGAGATAAACAAACGGCGGGGCCTCCTCACAAAGGACCAGTACTTCTCTGCAATAAAAGAGAATAAACGACTTATGTACCTAACAGTACAGAGAAATGTCAAAACCTTATGCTGAGAGACAGAAGCCAGACACAAAAAGAACACGCTGTTTGATGTCATTTATATGAAGTTCTAAAACAGGCAAAACTAATCTACAGAGACCGGATCAGTGGCCGCGGGGGCTGGATGAACCGGAGAGGGGCAATAGGGAACGTGCTCGGGGGATGGAAGAGTTCTGTGTCTTGACTGTGGGGTGGTTACACACACGTCAAAACTCATCCAACTGTACCCTTAAAATGGGTGAATTTTACTGTGTGTAAATTATACTTCCATACTACTTTGTTTTCAAAGGTGCTTTTTTTTTTAAGTGGGCTGAGGTCAAATTGTGAAGGACCTTAAACATCACACTAAGAAGGTTGGACCGAATAATCCAGGGAGTAACAGGAGCCTTATTAGTCAAAGGCTTTCCAGTTTGCTTTGCTGTGTTTTGGGAGCAAGTAAAAACCCAGCGCAAGCCAGCTGAAGCCAAAGAACTCAAGGAATTCAAAGAAGACTTTGAGGCTGAAAGCCTGAGGACCTTTCTCTCAGCTTTGCCCTCCAATAATTCCATGTTCCAGCTCTAGCGTTCCCCCATGGCTGAGGACACCATGCTCAGAGAAGCAAAGTGAATTGTCTGAGGACACACAGCCAGCAAGTGGCCATGTCCAGCCTGGAACCCAGGTCAGTCTGATGCCAATGCCTGTGGCTTGACCACCAGACCTAGAGGAGCAGAGAAGAATTCACTCAAAAAGGCTCCTGTGAGGAACACAGCCAAGCAGATGGAGGGAGAGGGGGCAGGAGGAGGGGCCACATAGCATAGCAAGCAGCCCTGCAGTCAGGAGCGGCTGATGGGCCAAGGGACTTGGAGGCGAAGGAGGGGGACTGAGCAGTGCAGATGGCCTGAGGCATGAAGAACAGAGAGGCACGGAACTGGCTGGGGGTAGCTTTCCGAGAAGGTGGGACTGCTGCTCCAGATCTCATCCTGAGCTTGCATCTCAGCCCCACGGGTCTTCAGTAGGTCTCCTAACTTCTCTGAGCCTGTTTCCTCAAAGGCAAAAGGAGTTAATGATGTGTTACAAGTGTCATCAAAATTAGAGACGATCCTGCAACAGAATGCTCCTCCCAGTACCTGGCCCTGAGCAAGTGCAACGATGGGTCAGTTATTAGCGTGTAACTATATAGTCATAGAGCTATTATTGTTGATATTAATAGTGAGGCCTTTGTGCCTCCTACCCCAACCTGCTCACCCCATCAAGCATCTTCTCTTGTTCTGGGCCAGGAAGGAGGGTCGCTGAGCACTATCCCTCAGAACTTGGCAGTTCCTGGAATAAGTGAGTAAGCGTGGAAGAGTGAGGTACTGAGATCTTGATGCCCGTGGAGGTGGCCTAGGGTTTGTAAGGCAGCCTGGCTTCTCACAGCCAAAGCTGCACGAGGCTACATCATTTGAGCTCTTTCTGGGATGGGGGTGTCAGCACTGGGCTTGTGCCTAAGTGGAATAAATGGTAGCCTGTTTGTTGGGATTTGGGGTACACTGGCCCCTGGATCTCTCCCTCCACCTTGTACTATGGAATTTTATCATAGGAATCCCGTTTCTTTTTCTGGAGAGTCTTGGCTCCATGGAAATGCAGTCCTGGTCTCACTCGGCTATTGAGCTATGCCATAAACTTCAGTGACATTGACACTGAGTTTCTTATCCCTTCCCCTGAGGAAAATGTGTGGATGGGGACAAAGAACACATCCAGGAGTGGAGGGGCTCACACATGTTCATCAGCTGACATGTGCCAGGAGCTGTCCAAAGGCTGGAGCTATGTCACCTGACTGGATCCTCCCAACAGCCCTATGCCATGGGTGCCTGTCACAGATGAGGAGACAGAGGCTCAGGGGAGATAACGCCCCTTAATCAAGGTCCCACAGCCAGGAAGTGATGAAGTCAGGATTCCTACCCAGAAGCCCCTGCTGTTTCTACTGTGCCCCTTCTTGGGGTGGTGTGGGCATGAAAAAGCATCAGCACACATTTCACAACCTTGTCCCAGAAAAGCAGCACTGTTGAGCAGAGAGAGGGCCCCTGACGGGCCACACAGCCAAAGCTCTGTGACCCAAGGCAGCCCAAGGGCCTAAGTTCATTATTCAAGCAGTCAACACCCACCACCCTTCAGAGGGCTCTGCCGGTCATCCATCAGGGGCTCCAAAGTGGCTAGGCAGGCTGGGAAAATCTCCAGGATGAGCAGTAGGGCCTGCACCTGAAGGTAGAAACCTCAGCTTCACCCCCTCCCCATGCCAGCAGACCTAGAAGCCAGGAAGAGGGCTGCTGAGGCCCCACAGCAGCCCTGCAGGGAAAGGAGAAACCCTGGATCCAGCTGGATGGGAAGCATGGCCCCCTTCCCAACCGCGAAAATAGCCCCTGGGAAAAGCACAGCCTCTCTCAGCCCCTCTCAGCCCCAGAGACAGGTCCTCCATAGGAGCTGAAGACTCGGAGCAAAATGTCACCCTACTCCCCAGTGCCTCCCGCCTCTGCCACCCATGCTCTGGGCCCCTGGCAGGGACTGTGCCCTGGTCAGGACAGCCAGCAGACCGTGTGCTTCCACCCCCACCCTCTCCCTGTTCCTATCTCCCAGGTTATGACACAGGGGCAGGAGAAGGAGGCCAAATCAGGGGCGGAGCCTTAGAGGAAGAGGACACAGATCTGAAGAGTATAAAGGGCCTCAGAGGTCCTGTCCAGAGGCCCTTTTGCTGTGCCACTCTGCACCTGCCCAGCACCATGGTAATGTCTGTTGGCTGAGTCTGGGACCCCTGTCAGCTCTGTTCTCCAGGAACTTGGGGAAGGGGGCCTGGCACCAAGGGCCCCTCCCAGAGTATTAAGGGCACGAAGGAGAGAGGTCGGGGCAGCCCCCTCTGCCAGTCTGATGGCCAGGACAGCTGTTAGGGTTTCTGTCCCTGCTTTGGGTTTTGCGGATGAGGGGAGTTCCTGGCCAGGAGAGGGTCAAGGGTCTCGGGGACTCTGGGGGTGTGTATCATGTGTATGGACATCATTGTACGTGACTCACTGTGTGTTGCCGGCACAAAATTCTCTGTGCACAGCTGGGTGTGTTTTTGGAGATCCCTGGGCTGGCATCTTGTATGCAACTATTAGTCATTCATTCAACCTGTATTATTGAGCACCTACCAAGTATCAGGCACTGTTCCAGGTGCTTGTGATACATCGGTTAACAGAACAGGCAAAGAGCCCAGCTATAATGGTGCTTATATTGTGGGAGTGCTGCTGGGGAGCGACGAGGACAATAAAAAAATAAGTATGGAATATAATACGTTAGATGGTGCAATGGAGGGGAATAGAGCAAGAGGAAGGGATGGATTACAATTTTAAACAGGGGTCAGAGCAAGACCCAATTAGAAGGCGAATTTTGAGCTGATGTCTGAAGGGTGCTAGAAAGTTGGCCATGCGTACATCTTGAGGAAGGATATTCCAGGCAGAGAGAACAGCCTGTCTGGCATTTTTAGGAACGGCAAGGAGGCGGGTGAGGCTGGAGGAGGGTGAGCAGGGAGTTTCGGCAAAGGCCAGTGAGGTTAGGGAGCTGACCAATGGCTCTAGGCCGTCCTCTTATGTCCGTCTCAGGATGTGCCACCCTGTCCATCCCCAGCCCCAGCCCCATCCCCCGAGTCCCCGTTTATCCGGTGCTTTGCGCACATACCTGTGCACGTCCAGGGGTGCACCATTCGGCCTGGGCACCTGGACATCCCTTACGGCGCTCGTGCACCTGTCTACGTCCCAGAGGCAGACACGTCCCTGGGTCAGAGCGGTCCCCGTGCCCCAGCTCGCCCTGCCGGCCACAAGTCGCGGGTCCGGGCGTCACATGACCGCCCGCCCCTTGGTCTGCTTCGCCGCCTCCAGGCTCCGGTTCTGCGGTGCGCGTGCGCACTAGCCCTGACGTGCCTGGTGCTGCTGTTGCTGGGGCCGGAGGGCGCCCTGGGGGAGGAGCTGCAGCTGGAAGATCCTCCCAGGCCCAGACTGACTGAATGGCTGACTGGCTTCGGCCCGTTCAATAAGTTCTTGGAGAAGTTCTTCAACGGCAGGTGGGCAGGCGGAGGGCGGGCGGGAGGGAGGACGGGTGGGGGAGGAAATGGACGCCACCTGGCACCCCCTCCCCGCGCATCACAGACCCGAGCTGGGCTCGCTGAGCGGCCCCATGACCTCTACAAAGACGTGTTCCCCAGCTTGAAGTCTAAGGACACCAAGAAATCTAAAGATGTTGAAAACCACAGGAAAACCGCTAACGCCACAAAAACCTCACCAGCGAACGCCACGAAACTCCCCCCGCTGCACACCGGGAAAGCCGACCATGAGTCTCCTCCCAGGGCCCCAGGTAGGAGACCCTGAGCACGGCGGGCACCAGTCAGGGGCCTCAGAACTGGGGGGAGCGAGAGGAAGCCCTGGGGGGCCGGGGGTATAGGCCCCCCCCCCCCACTTCCTTCTCCAGTCCGGACCTTGACCTCCAGACGCTCAACTCCAGTCTCCCTGCCCACCGACCCCTTTGTATTCTGAGAGAGGCCTTAACTCCTCCCCACTTCCCAGTGAGAACAATAAAGAGAAATAAAATCTCTCTTGTTTCCATGGCTTCCAAGGGCCCTTGGCAGGAAGGGACCTGTTCTTCAGCGGGGAGAGGGGACGCCAGAGCTCCCGCTGTGGGAGAAAAAGACCTCAGCGGCAGGGTCTTCCCTGCCTTCTCCCTCAGCCCCTCCCTCTCCTCCACCTCAAACACACACCGTTGGGGGAGGGGGAGCTCTAACTGAGAGGGAGAACAGAAGAGAGAGAAGCAGGTCCCAGCAACCTCAGAGCCAGACCACCCCCTCCCTCCCAGTTTCTACCCAGAGCAGGGCAGCTTTGATGCCAGCCTTGGATGTCAGTGTGGCACAGCGACAAACAGAAGTGCCTTTGCCTCCGGGGCCCTCTCATCCCCTCTGGCAGTGAGCAGAGCAGGGGAAGGGACAGGAGCCCAGCCAGGGCCTGTCCCCCAGAAGCCAGGAGCGGGGTGGCACTCTCGTCTGGGGGCTGATGGCAGTCAGATAGGCCTGGGCGGTGGCAGAGGCCCTCAGCAGCAGAGGCCCCTCTCAGGATGCAACTCACACGCAGGCATGTCCAGAACAGGGTCCCGATTCCTGCCCCTGGGAAGTGTCTACACTTCTCCCTACTCAGAACCCATCCCCTTAACTGCCAGAGAAATTTCAAACTCAACTCTGTTCTGCTGAAATGAGCCCCCATTGCAGATACCAGCTTGGATTTAAGCATCCACCTGAGCCGCGCATTTCCTGGGAGCTGTATCCTCTCCAGCCCTTTGCCTTTTAGGGCCTGGCTCCAGTTTCAGGTTATTTGCACACACCATAGCAGCCAGGACTTGAGGGCAAACATGATTGTGGTGTCATTGCCATGGGGTCAGCGTGAGGTGCCAAGCCAGAAAGTGGACCCTCTCATCCACCAAACCCACAAGGCCCATCCTTTCAGGCAGAGCATGGCGGGGAGGCAGGAGAAGCCATTCCAGGAACCAGAAAGGTTCTCATTCTCTCACTCCCCCTCACCCCTGCCAGGACTTTCCCTTACCCACAGGTGCTCCCAGCCCCAGAAACAAAGGAGAGCAACAAGCTCACTCCCTCCTAGTCATACACACACCACCCCCTCCCCACCTAATCGGGGTACCTGAGAAGGGCAAGGGCTGGCGAAGGCCCCTGGCGCCCCTGGGACTCCTCCACAGTGCAGGCCTCCCCAGGGCAGCATCCGGGTCCTTGCCCTCCCAGAGCTGGAGTGTGGAATTCACAGATTGGACCCCTGGAGGTGGTCAGAACTCTGGAGGTTAATCCAGCCTCCTCCCCAAAGGCCACATCCCCCCTGCGGCCTCCCCTCCTGCAGCGGCTTCAATAGCTCCTCCTCCCAGGAGTTCACTACCTCTCGGGGCAAGTTCTCACCAAGCTTCTGGTTCTTCAAAGATGCTTCTGTGTAGTCACAGAAAGCCTGCCTTCCTGAGCCCCGTCCTGAGCCACGTGGAGTTAACCCCAACCCTCTTCCATAAGATGGAGCTTCACATGCTTGAAGAGAACGTTGTCTCTCCGCTCGTCTTCCCAGCGTGCTTCATGGACACAGCTGGTCGGCCAAGGTCTGCATCACGAGGCTGCCCCTCAAAGGTTCCGGTTCACTGAGCGCTCACGTGGGTCAAGGGCCATGCAAAATGTCTCGCATGCATCATTTCATGTCGTGCTCACTACAACCCTATCATTCTTCCCATTTTACAGATGGGGAGTCTAGGCTCAGCGAGGTTATATCCCCGCCCAAAAGCACACAGACGGAAAGTGGCAGATCCCAGATTCAGCCCCAGGTTCATCTGACTCCAGAGCCAGTGCCGTAATTCTATATTAGATTGCCGTCTGCTCCAGGACCTTGGACAAGCTGCTGTAGCTCTCTGAGCCTTGCTTTCCTCCTCTGAAGAGTGAGGATAGCAATCTCTTCCTCACAGCATTGTTGAGAGAGTTCAATGCCCCTGGCACACAGTAGGCTCCTTTTCCCAACAGTCTGTGTGTGACCCGTCTCCAGACCCCTCCCCATCAGAGCGCCCCTCCTCCTGCCATGCTTCCGTGGGTCCTGCCCTGTGCCCCCTGATGAGCTGTGCTCCAGCTGAACTTGCACAGTGACACATCTCTGACCTGCCCAGAGGAGGGCAGCTCTGATGCCACCAATGCAACCGGTGACTGTCTTAGCACCAGGGCCATCTCCCCTGCCCCCATGCCAAGACACTTTAGTATAAATGAGTACTCCATCTACTGCCCAGGCTATAGGAAAGCATCGAGGCGGGGGTGGGGGAGGGTGGGGGGGGGTCACGGGGAAGGGGGAGTTATGTCTGGAGAGAGATGATCAGGAGGGGCCAGAGGTGCTGAAATGGGAAGATTCACTGACTTGCTGAATGACCTTGGGGGAGTCCTTGCCTCCCTCTGGCCACAACGTGCCCCTCTGTAAAGTGGAGAGAATGAGCTGAATGGTTCCGATGATGGTACAGACATTCTGGATCATTAACGACACTCTCCTTTAGCTTGTTCTCTTCCCCTCCCCCCTTCTTTCCTATGCGTGTGGCCCCTCCTGCCCCCACCAGGGGTCCACAGAGACACACACACACAGAGGCTCTGCCTTTGATTTGCTTTATTTAGCCTGTGTGGGAACAGGGAGCAAGCTTTGGTGGGAGCCAAGGGTGCAAAGGGGAGAGCTGCCCCTGGAGTCCGAGGAGGCCGGAGGTGGCATTACAAGTCCATGGGGCTGAGCTCCCTGTGAGGAGAGGGCAGAACATGGCAGTGTGAGTGGGTGGTCCTCGTGCCCTCGGGCCAGCCCTGGGCCCCTGTCCTCCCCACCACCACCTCTGCCTCCTCTCCCACCCCCGTTTCAGCCCCAGGGAGCTGGCAGGCAGGGCTGGGAATCAGACCCACCTGGGGGCAGCTGCATGGGGGGATCCCCACTCCAGGAAGCCCAGCGTGTCTTCTTTGTCTCTTTTTCCGTACCTGGGGGGAGAGACAGCTGGGGCCCGCGCTGTGCCCAGGCACCAGCTCACCTGCCCCCTGCCTACGCTTGGGCACCATCCCACTTGGGGCCCAGGCACGGTCAGTAGAGAAGCGCTGCTTTCCCAGGAGCACGGAGGGGGCTGGGGCCGGGATGGTGGCCAGGGCCCCAGGGGCTGAGATCTGTGTCCCTCTGTCTCGCACACACCTGGGCCTGGTCAGCATGTTGATGTATCTGCGGAGCTCCGCCGCGTACTGGGCCATCTGCTCTGGTGTGGCATTGTCCCCTGGGTACACTGGCTCCATCGGGGCCCCCTGGGCACCCAGTGGTGGCTGCAGCAACAGAGCCACGCATGTGGACAAGAGCAGCAGGGAGAGGCAGCGGCCTGCGGCAGCCATCTGAGGTGCAAGAAGTGGGGGGATAAAGGCAGAATAGAGCCCACCCACCCGGACTTTTAGCCCCTCACCCATTTCTCCATGCCTGGGGACCAAGGGGCAGAGCAAAGGGCTACTCAGACCTGACCCCCCCCCCCTCCTAGACTCTGCCTTGGGGAGCACAGCCAGCCCCCTCTCACGAGCAGCACAGCAGCCAGAGCTCAGCCAGGGCCTTGGCAAAGTACAAGAATGCAGCGGAGAGGGTGGGGACATGGGGCAGGAGACACGCAGGGCTGACGGCTCTTAGGAGGCAGATGTGGGGTGGGAGTTGGAGGGAAGGGGCTGGTGGGAAATAGGGGTTCTCCAGCTCACCTACAGGGTGGGGGCACAGAACGAACTTGTGAACCAGAGGACACAAATCCATTCCTTGTGGGTCTGCCCCCCCAACCCCACCTCCAGGGGTAGACATGCAGATGCAGGTCTTGGAGAAGACACTGTTGCCCATGTCACTCTGGGCAGACAGGCACAGTCACACACACGGATCTCAGTCACTCACAAGGTCACAGTCACTCACACATTTGTGTTCACAGCCACCACCCCTTCCCCATACACGTTTGTGGTCCTCTAGTCAGCAGACTGCTCTTCTGGGGTGACAGATTTGTCCAGATGTAGAGCCAGACCCAAGCAGGAACTCAGGCCTCCCAAGGCCCCCAGCCCTGCAAAGCACTAATTCCTTGCCCCCATTCCAGGCCCTAGCTCCAGGAGCCCCCCAGATCCCTGAGCAGGTTGAGCCCACTTACCCTGAGTCCTGAGCAAGCAGGTACTGAGCCAAGCGGTGCCTGCCTCAGGCTGGATGGGTCCCCCTGCCCTCGGCTGTGCCCCTTTATAGTCCTCAGCCCCCCAGAGTCCCCGCCTCCTGTCAGCCTCTCTCGCTCCCCAGCCTTCACCCCCTCCTCCCACCGTCTCCCTGGTACCTGTAACGCCAGCGCTGGGGCTGGGGACAGGAAGGGGACAAGGCAGTGTCATGGGTGCCAGACCAGCGGCATAACAGGTAAAAGTGAACCTGATGAAAGTCCGCTGTGGGCCCCTCATCTGCCTGTGGGCACCCGTGCAGGCTTGGTCCAAGAAGGACAGAGTTCTGGGACCAAAGGATGGCTAAAAGGCTCTGGTCGCAGCCTCAGAACAGCTCCTCCTGCCTCCCAAGGATCAACCCAAATCATCAAACGGACTCCTCAGGCAGAAGATTGGGACTGCAGCTCTGAGACTCCAGGGATGAAGGATGGAGACTCAGGACTTCCGCTCCAATTTGTGATTCGAACAAGGTGGGAACAGGGAGATGCCTCAGGCACGAGGCATTGTGGAAAGGAGAGAGGACCCAGACAGGGAGAAACCCACTCCCTGGCTGGTGCACAGGCTGCAGAATGAGAACAGATGTGCCTGCATTCGGGGGAAATGGGGGGTGCCGCTGTCTAGTCACCGTCTCCCAGAGCCCCCATTCCAGGGGAGTGATAAAAACCAGCGTCACTTGTAAATCTTTGAGTTTTCCAAAGTGCTCCCAGCTTCATCACCTCCCTGAGTCACTACAATAACCTGTTTTACGGATTCAGAAACTAAGGCTCAAAGACATTAAGTAACTAGCCTCAAGCCACATAAGCAGTCAGTGGGAGATCCACGGTTTGCAACAAAGTCTAACTCCAAAATCTGGACTCTCTAAGTGAGGTTGTCAAATTATTGCTATAATTTCCCATTTGGGGCTGAGAAACATGAGGCTCACAGAGGTGAAGACGCTCGCCCAAGATCACACAGCTGTCTGGACTCAAGTTCTGGCTCAGATTCCAACCCCACCATCCCGCCCCACCAGGAGCCTCTGATTCTCCCTGCTCAGGGTCCCTTCCCCCAACTCGCAGCCCCCTCCCCAGTCAGGCCAGGGAGTAGGAACGGGCTGTGTCTGAATGACACGCTGAAGCCTGACTAGGGAGCAAAGGACCTCTCACCCCTGCTGTCCCAGATCAGGAAGCTAAAATTGTGTGCTGGGAGAGGAGTTTGGGGGCTGAGGACCAGAGGTGATGCCACAGAGATCTCAGCTTCGATTTTCCCCAAGATAGGATAAGGAAGTCTCAGTAAACATCAGTGTTCCGCCGTGTTCCTCTCAGTTCTGATTTCTGGTAACAAGAAGAACAATAATGCTTCACCTGACAACAATTTTCATTCCACATAGCAAACATGGAGGTCCATCTGTCTCCGCAAGCCCCAGCCCTTCTCTGGATCTCGGTTCCCACTTGCAAAACAAGGGTGGTGGATTAGCGGCTGGTCCCAGGCCCGTCTCTGGTGAGGCCGGAAGAGACTGCAGCCTGCCACCAGGGGGTGCCAGGCTCCAACCCCAGCCCAAAGGTTCTGGGCTCCCTTAGGACTGTAGCCTGGTGGGACATGTTCCGGCCACTACCCGCGTCAGGAACGAGTTCCTGTCGACAGATGGTAGATCTGGGGATTGACTCAAGTGCTGGGCCATTTATAGTTTGATCTTGTCACAGAAGTAAACAGCTTTGTCAGTGCCTAAGAAATGACGGGTACTCCACAATGACAACTCAACCTGTAGCTTTCATTTTTCTCCTTTGCAAACAACAGATTCCTCCTCTGGGTCCTCTCAGGGATGTTGTGACAATCGAGGTGGAAGAGCTAGTGGATGTGCTTTCTAAACTATATGACCATGTCCAGAACTGAGCGACGGTTGCGTCTCACTCATCTTCATGTGTTCCTGGGGCTCGCCATGGAGCCCTGTGCGGAGAAGGCACCAAGTGCTTACCTGCAGAGGGACCAAGTGAAAATGATACTGGTCCCCCTCCCCTGCCCAAACCCACACCCTCTGGGACAGGAGGCTGCCACTGAGCAGTGTTGGGGATGGAGTGAGGGGTGTGATGAGGCTGGGGAAGGAACACCCCAGAAACACCTGGGGTCACAGAGGGAAGGTGAGTATGCAGTAGCAAGGGGAATGGGGGTCCACACACATGGGACTGCAAGGACAGGAAGTTGACCGGCATCATGTCCTCCATCACCCACCTCTCACAAGTGTGTCTCCAGAGCAGCCTGGCCCAACTCTTAGCCAACGTCTCACTGCCACACTGGGTGGCAGCAGCAGAGGTGGGGAAGGCTGGGGCAACTTCCCCCAGATGCCAGGAACCCTTGGGGTCCCTTGGGCTGAGGATAGCCATCTCACACACACACACACACACACACACACCTTGAGCCCATATCCCGCCAGCTCAGGACCAGCTCAGGCCCAACTGGGGCCTCAGGTCACTAACTTGGAGACTGGACTCTGCCCCTACTTCCCTCTGCCGTGGGGACTCCATCTGCCGCCAGGGCCCCCTGCAGGCCCAGGGGTGCTCAATATTTCTCCCTCCCTGCACACAGTGCCTGCAAAAACAAACCTTTAAAGAGGAAGCCCTCTTTCTTGCTAAGAGAGAGGCTAAACCAATCTACGAAAGAAAGTGTTGGGGAGGGGGTGACTGAGGAGGAAGGGAACCATGGGGACTGGGTGTGGAAGGAAGGGAATTTGTCCCTCGGGGTTTTTGAAAGGGAGAGGTGCCAGAGCAGTCTTGAGATGGGTAAGCAGTGAGCAGGAGAGTAAAGGAAAAGCAGGGGCATTTTAGTAAGCATTGCTGTAGACCTTAGGATGGATCTGTGATGTCTCCTGAGGACTGGGGGGAAAACTGGAGGTCCCTTCATAGCTTTTGGTGTGGAGCTGCTGTGCCTTAAATGCAGTGCTCCTTGGAACCTGTGGGGCTCTAGGTTACAAGGGTTACACACGGGCCAGCCTGGGCCAGGCTGATCCGGACTATAGATTCAGCTCCACCACTCACTACTCTGCCATTCATTAGCTGTGTGACCTTTGGCAACTTACATGATCTCTCTGAGCCTTAAAGCAGTGAACTATCATTATTAATTAAGGTGTCAGTATCCTGTTTAACCAGGGAAGAAATACATGCAGTGAAATGAAATGTCTAGGCCAAAGTCACTCAGCCAATTAACGGCAGAGACGGGACTCAAATGCCAAACTTTTGTCTTGGAAGCCACTACACCAACTCTGGGGTCTCTGCCCTCGAGGGGCTCATGGTGTAGGATAGTCCTGTGTGAAGGCTCAGATTCAGGCTATAGATATACCAGGGCAGGGCGGGGCAGGAAGTTTCCTGGAGGACATGAGGCTTGAAGTGGCCTTCAAGAATGATGGGAGAGGGGCCGGCCCGGTGACGCAGCAGTTAAGTGCACACATTCCGCTTCGGCGCCCAGGGTTCGCCGGTTCAGATCCCGGGTGCGGACATGGCACCGCTTGGCAAGCCAGGCTATGTATAGGTGTCCCATGTATAAAGTAGAGGAAGATGGGCATGGATGTTAGCTCAGGGTCAGTCTTCCTCAGCAAAAAGAGGAGGATTGACAGCAGTTAGCTCAGGACTAATCTTCCTAAAAAAAAAAAAAAAAAAAGAATGGTGGGAGAATGTTATTTCACAGAAGTAGGGAGGTGGCAGTGGGACTGAGCAATCCGGGAGCACACAGTGAGGAACTGTGTGAAATGCCACGAGAGGAGAAAGCGCTGTGTTGTGGGGAGCCTTGCGTTTCTGATAGAAGAGTTTAGACTTAACGGTCAGTGGAATCAGAGCTGGCTTGGAGTGGCTCTCTTACTTTTGTCCCCAACTATTTGGCCTCCTGCAAGTCTCTGCCCCTCTCTGGGCCTCGAGATTCCAGTCTGCTCAGTGAAGGGATGGGACCAAATGATTTCTAGATCATGCTCAAAGGAGATCCTGTTTGCAGCAGGTAATGCTAGTCGCCCAACATCCACTCTCTCCTTCCATGATGTGAGAGCTTGAGACGGGCACATGGCCACTCAGCTGAAGACATCTTTAGGTTGTGATTGCAGCGAGATGGGGCCACGTGACGAAGTTTTAATCAATGAGATGGGAGTTTAAATGACTGTGCCATTCTGCTTTCAGGAGCGGACGCGCCCTCCTGTGGCAAACTGCACCAAAGACCAGAAAAATCCCCCCACCCCACACAGAGTTCTCCAATGGGGTCTGTGTCCCCTCGTCCTGACTGCGGCTGGACCTGTGACTGCTTTGGCCAGTAGACTATGGTGGAAGATGCTATGTGACTTCTGAGGCTAGGTCATAAAAGGCAATTATATGGGTCAAATTGGGTCCCCACAAAATTCATACGTTGGAGTCCTAACCCCCAGCACCTCAGAATGTGACCTTATTTGGAAATAGGATTATTACAGATATAATTGATTAGGACGAGGCCATACTGGAGTAGGTGGGCTCTACTCCAATATGATTGTTGTCTTTATTAAAAGGGGAAATTTGGATACAGAAATGGACATGCGTGGATGATGTGAAGAGACACAGAGGGGGCACCCGTCTACAGGCCAAGGAGGGAGGCCTGGAACGGACCCTTCCCACACAGCCCGCAGAAGGAACCAACACCTTGGTTTCAGCTTCTAGAGTCCAGAACCGTTGTTTAACCCACCCAGTTTGTGGTACTTTGTCACAGCAGCCCTAGAAAACTAAGACAGCAACGCAGCTTCCTCCTGGTTCTCTTGGCGCACTCAGTCTGGGAGCCGGCTGCCGTGTAAGTCCCGCTACCCCGAGAACATCACACCAGAGAGGCCATGCGTAGCTGCTGGGTCAACAGCCCGAGGCAAGCTCCCAGCCCACAGCCAGCAGCCCCCGCCAGGCATGTGCGGAAGTCCTCTCAGGTGTCAGCCCAGTGGAGCCCTCCGATGACTGGAGTCCCCGCCAACCTCTGACTGTCACTGCATGAGAGACTCCAAGTGACAACTGCCTAGTCCAGCCCTTCCCAGTCCTGACCCACAAAATCGTGA